GCGTGTCATAGGTTCGCCATCACTGTTCTAAGTCAAGGACTACCTGTACTTACGTTGACCCTCGAGTCAACGGTATTTAGAATTCTTTTGAGGCAAGTTATGCCAATTGTACAGACGGTTGCTGAAACAGTTGGGAGGAGTTCTGTGGGATCAATAATACAACCCCTACATTGCAGAGATTAAATTTCCATTCAGACTAGGAAAACTAGTAGAACAGAAATCTGAAATGTAGAGTTCAGTAGGAACGGTGAGATGATCTAATTGCATTTTGACAAAAAGTAGGAAATCAAGGCTGTTTCCCCCACCCCACCCCCTTGTTTTTTCCAACTCTGCAGCTTTGCCGTGCCCCGACCCTCAAGCGCCACCCAACGGCCGGATCACTCCAGTGCAGGCAAAATATATTTTTAAAGACTTCTACAGCCTCACTTGCAACGTGGGCTACGCACTTTTGGAGGTGTGTGATATTCTCAGTTTTTTGTTTGTTTTTTTTACTTCTACAGGTAGGCAACTTATACAGATCGGTATAAATTTTAGCTATGGAACTTGGGCCAAAGCAATCACGCAGAGAGGAAAACACTGTACATTATAAAGGCTTTTAATATCGAGCTGTTATTAACCCAAGTTCCTAGTTTTGGTCTTGGTGCTTAGAATAGAATAGAATTCTTTATTGGCCAAGTGTGATTGGATTGGGGGTGAAATTCAGCAGGTTCTGGAGAACTGATAGCGGAAAATTTGAGTAGTTTGGAGAACTGCAAAATACCACCTCTGACTGGCACCAGGAGTGGGGAGGGAATGGGGATTTTGCGGTATCCTTCCCCTGGAGTGGGGAGGGAATGGGGATTTTGCAGTATCCTTGCCCCAGGAGTGGGGAGGGAATGGATATTTTGCAGTATCCTTCCCCTGGAGTGGGGAGGGAATGGGGATTTTGCAGTATCCTTCCCCTAGAGTGGAGAGGAATGGAGATTTTACAGTATCCTTTCCCTGGAGTGGAGAGGAATGGAGATTTTACAGTATCCTTCCCCTGGAGTGGGGAGGGAATGGGGATTTTGCAGTATCCTTGCCCCAGGAGTGGGGTGGGAATGGAGATTTTGCAGCATCCTTCCCCAGCCCAGAGGACCAGTAGTAAAAAAAATTGAATTTCACCACTGGATTGGACACACAAGGAATCTGTCTTTGGTGCATATGTGCTCTCAGTGAACATAAAGAGACAAGATACATTCGTCAAGAATCATAAGGTACAACTTATGATAGTCAGAGGGTACAAATAAGCAATTAGGAAACAATCAATATCAATATAAATCATCAGGATGCAAGCAACAAAGTTCCAGTCCTGCAGTCATAAGTGGGAGGAGATGGGTGATAGAAACGATGACTAATAGTAATAGTAATGCAGGCTTAGTGAATAGTTTGACAGTGTTGTGGGAATGATTTGTTTAGCAGAGTGATGGCATTCAGGGAAAAAACTGTCCTTGTGTCTAGTTGTTCTGGTGTGCAGTGTTCTATAGTGTCGTTTTGAGGGTAGGAGTTGAAACAATTTATGTCCAGGATTCGAGGGGCCTGTAAATATTTTCACGGACCTCTTTTTGACTCGTGCAGCGACTCGTGCAGGAAGGCAGGTTGGCAGCCATTGTTTTTTCTGCAGTTCTGATTATCTTCTGAAGTCTGTGTCTGTCTTGTTGGCTTGCAGAACCAAACCAGACAGTTATAGAGGTGCAGATGACAGACTCAATAATTCCTCTGTAGAAGAGAATCAGCAGCTCCTTGGCAATTTGAGCTTCCTGGTTTGGGGTGAAGGGACATCAAGCTCTTGCAGGACACAACACGGTTTTTTGCCTTGTTGTTTTTGGAATGATTACCAACCAAGGCGTTCTCAAATTGCAAGACAAATTCCCTGAAATCTTTCGTTTTGCCTCCCACAGAACAAACTGATTGTGAAATCGTTCCAAGCAACTTGCCAAAAGGACGGGGCATGGAACAAGCCAATGGCCCAATGCACCAGTAGGTCTTCTGCCCAGAATCCACATGAGACTTGCAGTCCTCAAGATATGTTACTTTTTTCTTGGTGGAAATCTGTTCTCAAGCCTGACATATGTCCCGGTTTTTGGTTTCACAGGGGAGTTAAACAGACACAAAAATCTTTTATCTCGCTTCTGCTCATCCTCTAATCCTTCTTTTAAAATTGATTCTATGCTCCAGAAGTCATTTGGGAGACACTTAAAAGAGGCAGAATGTAATGTATGTTATTTACAAGCTGAGTGAAAGAATTTGTAAGAATTAAAACAAAAGCCTCTGGGTTACAGATCTCTGATGAGATACTCAAGACCCACAATTTAAGTCTCAGAAAAAAATTATCTTTGACTTGGGACAAGATTCTCTGCCGCCTGTCACTATTTTTATCCTGATCTTTCTTGTAACTGTTGTCTGCATTTCCAGCCCTTCAGATGCTTAATATTTCTTCCTGATCCTTTTCAGTTGTTGACTGCGGCCCTGCCAGTGACATAGCCAATGGCACGCTTGTGTATGTCACCGGAAGAGAGATCTCTACCTATCAAGCTGAAATCAAATATAATTGTGAAAGCCCCTTCTACGCCCTGAAAACCAGCCATTCTGGTAAGAAAAACATTTTGTGACATAGGCAAGGCTTCAATTTTGCTTGAAAAGGTTTCCTGCGATCCCAGCGGGAGTTTGTCAAAGTAAAGGAGTAGTAGTTCTGCATTCTCGTTAGCAGGATCTTCACCCAGGACATTCTATTCTTATTCTCTTGAACCTTGAAATATTCCGTAATTCTGCAAATCTCTCCCTTTATTTGACTTCAATACTTAAAAAAAAAAGCCAACAATCCAGTGTTTTAGAAAATTCTGCAAATCTTGCAGTTTCACTAAGGCTATTCAGACCTCCCCACCCGCCCGTGCAAATGAAGTGATGCTTTGGGCGTTTGTGGATCAGCACATGGAGAGAGAATTTGACACGCTTATGACAATTAAACAGTAAGAAGTGCTCCATTAAACAACAACAACAAAAAGTATGCTGGACTAAACACCAGTGCCTTGCCTTAATTGCTGAGGTATAGCACCATGTTCACGCCTATCGAGTAAAAATGTCTCTTCAACTTAAGGCATTTGTAAATCTGGTGGAACAAGGGCATAAGGATTCTGGCATTGCTATGCATAGAGTCTATGCAATGAGGAAGATGCCAGGTGCAAGAAATCGAGAGCCAGTGTTCGGTTCAAAATTAGTACGAGTTTATTTCATACCACCATTAAACCAGAATCTATACTACTAACGGTCTAGGCAAATTGGCAGTAGATAGTCCATGGAATTGAAGGAGGGCTGGACTTACCATATTTTTCAGAGTAGAAGACGCTCCGAACTATAAGATGCACTTAGCTTTTGGGAAGGAAAAGAAGGGGGAAAAAATCTGCCTCCCAGCAATTTGCCTCTTTGCAACAAACAGTCAGTTTCAGTTTCAGTTTCAGCACAGCCTGATTAGCACAAGCAGCTCCCGAAGATCAGCGGTTTCAGGCTGCAGGGATTGCCAAAGCCTATTGCCACTTCCGCGGGCCCCATTTTTGGCCTCCGCATCCTGTTTTCAGCCTCCGCACACCCCATTTTATGCCCCTTCCAGGGATCAGAATGGGCAGAAAATAGGGGCGCAGAGGACCAAACCAGGGAACGCAGAGGGCAAAAATGGGATGTGGAGGCTGAAAATGGGGCGCACGGAGGCGGCAATGGCAATCCCTGAAACAGTTGCTGGTCAGGTGGCCAATCCAACCGACAATCAGCTGCTTCTGCTGAAGCTGAAACAGGTTGTTTGCTATTTGCTGCAAGGAGGCAAATTGCTAGGAGGCAAAGGCCAAAGGATGGGGGCTGGCGGGGCTACGTTCATTGTATAAGATGCATCCAAAATTTTACCCTCTTTTAGGGGGGAACAAAGTGCGTCTTATACTCTGAAAAATATGTTATATTTCTTGTGGGCGCAAAGGGACTCTGAACTGATGATGTGCTTGACTCCACCCGCAGGGTTCAGCCTGGCCATTTCCTACAGGAGGTATCAGTAAACTATGGGATGCAAATTGGGACCTTCTGGTGAGGGTTAGGACAGTATTTAATACTGGTGGGAAAGAGCTGGCTGAAATTTGAAGTATAGGTGGCATCTCTTTTTACCAAGGCTATACCGTCTATGCAGGTAACTACCGGTGTGCCCATGATGGTTTCTGGAAGGATCACAAGGGAAACAAAGCACCTCCGGTCTGTGAACCAGGTAATATATATGCAAGTGCTCTACAACAGGTACATAAGACAAGGATATGATCTCAGGCAAATGTCACCCTTTCCTTGTTTCGTGCTGCTAATCTGCTCCAAGTGGTGCAGAAAGTTTTCCCTTCCTGATCTGCCAGCTGTGCATAATTGTGTCTATGTGTGTGGGTGTGTAGAATCTTAGGTATAAAATATTTTTTTAAAAAAAAAAATCTTCTGCAGATTTTTTCATACCCATATGATCAAAGGTGACTGGAAGCATTTTTCATTCAGCGTAACTATTTCACTTTTAGGGGTGTCAAACTCGATTTCATTGAGGGCCACATCAGGGTTGTTTCATCTTTGGGGGGGGCTGAGTGGGCATGGCCTGCTTGATGTCACTCATGTCAGGGCTGCCTGTGGCAGCCCGAACGCTCTGCACACAGCCCTCTTGAGCTCCCTTTTCACTGGCAGAGGATTGCAGGAGGCTGATGCAGCCAGAAACTGAGTTTGGGAACCCGTTTTCACTGGCAGAAGCACTGCGGGGCCTGTTTCCAGGGTGACCCAATGGGTCAGATCTAAGCACCCCGCAGGCCGGATCTGGCCCCCAGGCCTTGGGTTTGACACCCCTGAACTATACAAAAGAAACTATGCAAGGCTAAAGAGAGGTATTACGAACTTTTCAGATGTGAAATACCCCTTATTGCAACCTTTAAAAAAATACTATACCCAAGAACTTCTATATTAGAACAAAACAGCTTTTCTTTTTTTGTCTCATCCATCATTTAATTGGCCAATCAAACTGCACATATCAAACAACCAAGCCAACATTTGAAAAGACCAGACTGCACTATGTAGTATTACCAATAATAAAGCAACGTTCGTATTTGTGAAGATAGTTGAACCACTCAGCACCTGGGAGATCTCAAAGCAAGACCACACAATAAGGAAAAAATTGGTATTTCCATAGTTTAAGCATCGATATACTTAAGCGGCTGAGATCTGTGACTAAGAAACCTGTCTCACATTAAGCTGCAACAGATGCCAATGTTACAATGCAGCCACAGATAGCTCTGAATTTTGTTATGGGAAGGACACCAATCACCACCACCTCTCCAGGTGGGGGAAAGAGAAGCCTCATAGCTTAGTGTTTGAAAGTGCTTGGCAAACCTGGCATCCAAATATCAAACACCACCCCCCCTCTCTGGAATTCCTTGTTGGGGCAGAGAAGAATGGGAAAGTAAATGAGTTTGGGACACACAATCCAATCCCCCACACTTTCTAGGTCCTGTAGATTGAGACTAGGAGAATCAAATCTTACTGAACTAATAAGTCTGACTTGTATCTCCTTTCTCTTCCTTGCCAGTCTGTGGAGTGCAAACGTCTAACACTCTGAAGCGTATCTTTGGAGGGCAGAAGGCTCTGCCCGGCCAATTCCCTTGGCAGGTTTTAATCACGGACGCGCATGGAGCAACTGGGGGTGGAGCCCTTTTATACGATAACTGGATCTTAACCGCTGCTCACGTCCTGGGCAGCCCAGCTGATGCCTCCTCCCTGACTTTGAAATTGGGGCTCCTAAACAAACGCTCCCCTCATTATCACCAAGCCTGGGCAGAATCGGTTTTTGTCCATGACGGCTTCACGAACGACGGCGTCAACTTTGACAACGACATCGCTTTGATTAAACTGAAACACAAAGTCCCTGTTAACAAAAACATCACTCCAATCTGCTTGCCGGGATACAACCCCGGCTTCCGCGTGAAGACAAACGACACAGGAATCATTGCTGGCTGGGGGAAAACGGAGCGGTCCCGGCAGTCCCGTTTCTTGCTGTACACTGAGGTAGATGTTGTCGAGTCGAACAAATGCAAAGCGGCCTACGCAAACCGGACTGTGCAAGGAAATCAGCTCAGGCTGACGGAAAACATGCTCTGCGCAGGAACTGAGGAGGGTGGGAAGGATTCTTGCTATGGGGACAGTGGAGGGGCCTTGGTGTTCTACGATACCCAGGCCAAGAGGTGGTTTGTCGGGGGCTTGGTCTCCTGGGGTTTGGAATGTGGCTCTGCTGGGCTCTACGGGGTCTACACAAAGGTGTCCAATTATATGTCATGGATGGGGGACCTAATTGCACGCCACTCTTGATTGGTTTTTGTCGCATTTTCTAATAAAACCTAGAACGCAAACATTTCTGTAGATTTTAATAAAGCTCATCTATAGCCCCTCACCACCACCAAGCTAACTGAGGTTTATTTTAAGAAAGATCCACGGAATCTGTCTCTAGGCTATGCAACCAATCAGAGTTGAAAGATCTGCTTCTTTGTGGATTTATCACCAACCCTCAAGTGAAAATTGCACAGGGGCCTCAATTATTATGTCCTTGTCCATTTTAAATCAGAAAGGTTCACAGAAAGCATCCAGACCAATGTTCACATTTTCCTCGCAAATTATTGTATCTTTATTGTATTGTATCATAGATAGAAGGATGGATAGACAGACAGACAGATATCCCAGGCTTATTCCCTGCCGCAACCCATCAGTCATAATTCCCATCTATTCAGCTTTCTCATGTTGTTAAAACCACCCGTTTTCTTCTACCAGTCAATTTTAAAGTCCAAATCTTTAACTCCATTGGGGCTAATCTCTTCCCCTTCATTTACATTTACTGAAGCTAATCTTAATGAGATCAACCTAGCATACAAGGAATTCCTTTATTAGCTACCAAAGAGTTGGAGGTAGTAGCATTCTCTTTTTATAAACAGGCACTGCTGACAATTGGTGGGTCGGGAGGGAGAGAGAAAGAGTGTCAGGCATTATGTAGCCCATAGGAGCTGAGCAAGAGCCCCAGAGGCCCTGCTCATTCAGCTGTAAGACTTTGGTCTCAACTGCTGAGACCAAAATGCGCCAAGATTTAATTCACGCCCACACAAATCTGGACTGGAAAAAGGAATTGTCACCATCAAGTCCATTTGAGTAGCAAAGTCTCCGTAATTAAGAGATGCTCAGCAAGCAGCTGAAACACACATTTGCTCACATTGGGCCTCTGTTAAATTACAATGCTGCTTATTACTAAATGAAGCTCATTAGCAAGATAATCCTTCTAGCGGTGGCAAACCGACTGTGTTCCTTATTCCCCTCTTTAAATTGCATTTAGCACAATACGTACAAGGGCTGCAGAAAGTTAAAAACAAGACTCCAGACAATCAAGTTATGAGAATTCTGTTTATTAACTCACTTTCAACACTAACGAAAAAATTAATGATATGAATCATGTTTGAAAACAATTCTAAGATGCTTAGGGATTGGAGGGAAGGGACGTTAGAGCCTTTACTGCTTGAAGCAGCATTAAAATGATCACAGCATGGGTCCCCCTTTCTATCCAGAAGTGGCCCTTGGGTTTTATAAATACAAGCCAAAATAAATTACTGAAACCATGCTAGTGAGGTATAAAACTTACCCTCATGATTCTTCCTGGGATGACACAGTTTAGCCTTGGGAGGTCCGAGAAAACCATATTAAGTGTTACTCAGCAGCAGTAGCTGGTGTTAATGCAAGTGCTAAAATGCAAAATTCAGATGGTAGATTTTGGCAATGGATCGGATTTAGGTGAAGTAAAGATTATGCAATGTAAGACTATTATGTCCTCCGGAATATTCACAGATCTGTTTTACACCAAGAACCATCTTCTGGTGTAATAAACCAGTATCAGTATCGAACAACAACGCCACCATAAGCACCCAGCAAATAATTTTAAGAGTCCACCTACTACACTAATATCCTTTAAAAGGAAATAGGATTTTCAGCTGAAATGCAAAGAAAATCAGGGGAGCTACAGGAGATTTTAAAGTGTATAAATTTATTTGGGACCAAATTGACGGCTCCCATTAGGTATCAAATGAAAGTTGTAGGTTTATATCAAGCAAGGGACAGTAAACGGTCTGTTACTGTATAACTCTCTGAGAGCCAAATGTTTGCCAATATTTTGTCTGTTCACCACATTGAAACGGAGGTTTTTAGCATCCTATTCCCATCAAGGCTGAATGCCCTGAGAACATAGACTTATTTGAGATTTTTGCTTACACCCAGGAAATTACCAATGCCTGCTGACTAGGGATGGGGAACTTCATGTGACAGAATTGCATTTCAGATAAGTTTATCACAAAAGCTATAAAGATAAGGCTGGGTCTTAGTTTTGGAGTTTCTGCTACATAAGGCAGGCAAACCTAAAAAAACATTTTTTAAAAACGTAATTCTTATCTTAAATGATACTTTTAAGGAGCTCTTTTGCTCGGGGGGGGGGGGGCTGTCAAACACACACACGTATTACTTAAATCAGTTTTATTTAAGAATTTCCTACATTGACAAATCTTATAAAAAAGCATCCAAACACAGAACTTCAGCAAACAGCATTCATATGAATATCTTACAGACAGAAAAACTTCCACCCGCAAGGGAACACCTGAGCTTTGCAAGTGAGCTTTGCTGGGGGTGGGGGTGGGGAAGAAGAAAAAAAAGCACACACGCAGAAAGCACACTACAAACTGGATGTTCCCATCAGAAAAATCCCCACCTTCGGTTCACGTTACCACACTTACAGGATCATTGAACAAAATAACACACACCATACAGCATTCACAGCAGAGTTGACATAAAGGAGAAAAAAATATGTACAGATATTCGTTTCACTTAACACATCCAACTAATTTGGTTTAACTAAGTAAAAAGCCCTCCTCCCGCCCCCTTTTTTAAGTTCTTCCAGATCAAGATGTCCGTTTTTGAATGCAAGGAAAACATTCGTACGTCTGCTCCCATCGCTCTCCGCACACTCTCTCACCAAAGCCACAGGATCGAGGGACATTGCGTCAAGGAAAAAAAATGTTTTTTTTTTAATTAAAAAAAAAATCCCATAATGCACCACCAAGTCTCTCTCCGCATGCGCCTCCTTCTTTTTCTCGCACATACCAAGCCCTCACATGCCTTGGCACCACAAATCCAATCCCACACAAGGTTTTCAGAAGTTCAAACAAGCCTTCTGGTTTCCATCTCACAGCCTTGCGTTCACAGCGTTGAGTACGACTCCATGAAATAAAAAGAGGAGCGGATAAAATGGAACACCCACCATCTTTAAGACGTAGCATGTGCAGTGTGATGAAGGAGTCTTGGATGAGGAAAGCATGGAGACAGGAGAACTCCTAAAGCAGATATTTTTTTTTATATATAGGTGTTTTGTGTTTGTGTATTTTTTTTAAACTGCACTGTTTTCAATGAAGTGCTTCTTCCAGACACATTTGAAATGAGATGAACTGCAAGAACTAAATGAGGTCTCCATACTGTACTTTAGTATGAGAAGGGAGACAGTGTTAAAAGGAAAAAAAGCCGACACCAACATTGCATTCTCCACACAGGACATTTGGGGGAGGGGGAAGGAGAGAAAGAGAGAAAAATTCTTATGGCGGGGGGGATCAAATTAAATTAAAAAAAAATTAATAAGGATAGGATGCAGTTTCTGAAAAATGGCTTCCATTTTTTTTGAAACATGCAAAGATCTCAGCTGACTAGGAAAACAAGGAATCCAATCTTTACAAATTCCTATTTAAACTGCAGCACACCCGTTTACCAGTCAGGGAAACAGTTCACTTTCAGCCACTCAATAATCCCAACTCATGTATTCCAACTCATGGTAACAAAACCTATAAAACTTCATTTAATCTTTTTTTCCCCCTTACAAAAGAAAAAAAGTGTCAAAAATACTATCGAAATATACTACACACTGAACAAATTGATTTGGGGTTGGTTTTTTTTTTCTTTTTCCTTTTAGTAATATGCATTTTAGATTATACTTACCGGAAGCTCTAGAAAAAAAAAATGATTTCCCATCAGAGTCAGCCTGCCTTACATCCCCCATCCTGATGATTTGGAATCCATACTTGAACCAAACCCGCCATTAAACCCACTGCTGGAGCCCGTGTTGGAGGAGCCCCACCCTATCGCTGGGCCAGAGTTCGAGCTTCCGTAGGAATTGCTCCCGGAGCTAAACCCTTGGCTCTGCTGCTCCCTCTGCATGTTTCCCTGTGGCTGGTTGTTCCCTGACGGCCCAGACTGGTTTTGCTGGCTAGCAAGCATGCCCATCATCCCCCAGCTGCTCTGCAGCGCGGCCTGAGCCGCCGCCATCATGGCGGGATTGATGCTGAAGGCCCCAAAGTTCATCCCACCTCCCATGTTACTGCCCTGGCTGTTACCCAGTCCGCCACCTCCCCCGCCTCCCCCCCGATTAGGAAATCCACCCTGATTCCCAAAGCCTCCTGGATTACCACCAAATCTTCCACCTCTTTCTAGTTGTCTACTGCTATTATGCTTAGGTTCAGCATTGGATATATGGACGCTGATTCCTTTTATGATCAAGTCCTCACCACAAAGGGACTGGGCGACCTGTAAGGAACAAGGAGCAAGGGTTGAGTCACCCAAGGAGCAAAGGAAGAGAGACAACAAATGCACAAAAAGAGCTATAAGAGCAGCAATGAATATATAGGCTTGTTTGAAGCATTCATGATTACCTAATCAAGTATTAGAATTCCCTCACAACAGTGGAGAACTACGCTCCTTTTCTTATTAAAACAAACGAATAAACAGGAGTGGGCAATACTAATTTAACTTGCATTGTACTTCATACTCATTCTGAAACAAAAAATCAGTGGTGGGTTGCAGGCGGTATGTTATGCCCCAGTATAACATACCGCCTGCAACCCGGAATACCGGGTAGCGTTCCGGTACAGTGCTCTGGAGAGCCCATCTGCCCGCCCACGCTCCTTACCTGTCCTTTAAAGCCTTCGGCACTTCCGCACACAGCACCTGCACGACGCTCTGCTGAGCAGCATCGCAGAGGCTTGCGGAAGCATCACTGGCAGCTACAACGTAAGCACGCACCATGTGCATCCATGTTGGTGGCACCAGGCCTGTTCCAACCGTGCTGGTTGGAACGGGATCCAGAACCCACCATTGCAATAAACCCATTTCCCCATAAAAGCTTTCTAAAAGGAAGCCCATTCCACAAAATTACCCCAATTATAGTTCTTAGGCAGCTGATTTGGAAATGGAATCCTGCTTCATACAAATGTATGAAGGCCCAGAAGTCTGTGGCAAGATTAATCAGCTTCCCAGACAAACAAGAGTTAAGAGCTGTTTTTCCTTCATTCTTTCTCAAGGGCAAAAATGATTAACAGCCAGCTTATTTACAAGGTTTGCTTTATGCCTGTTGTTATTTAAACAGCGGCAATGAAATGGAAGCATCTAATTACACAGTAATACTGAGTTACTTTAGATCAAGCTTTCCTGAATGAAAACCTCCCTTAAAATGATTGTGGAGCTGACAGGAATGAAGTATTAACAGGATATATGCAATTTGTATGTCTCGTAATTCAAAAGCCAGCTGCATTTATGTTGAACACACAGCAGAATTAAATGGGAATGTTACGAAAACTGCTTAAGGAAACAGTGCACGCTCCCCAGGGGCAAAGAGGGCACTGGGTGAATACCTGATCATCAGCAAACGTAACGAAGGCAAAAGCTCTGAATGGTTTGGGAATGAAGACATCAACGACTTCTCCATATTGTGAAAAAAACTGACGGAGCTCATCTGCAGTCATGTCTTCAGTGCAACGCCCAACAAACACCTTCCTGCTACGCAAAGGTTCATCTGGACTTTGCTGGTACCAATGCAGAAGATTTATATTAATATAAAGGGAAGAATTACAGAAGCTGTAAGCAATAAAGGTTCCCCACCCCACACGCAGCAACTAGCCGAAGAAAAATTTCAAATTCTGAAATTGTCTCTTCTAAAGTTCAAGTGATGACAAGGAATTGGAAATTGGAAAACTAAGAAGTGCTTCGCTCCACCTGAAAAACCCTGTCAAGCCATAGGAACACCCAGACCACTCTGTTCTTCTGCTTCAGAGAACAGAATCTCTGGGCCCAATTTGATTCATAAAGCCCACAAATGCCAACATGTACCTTAGAATTGGGGAGCTTGCAGTCGCACCATCTTCCATCAATCATGTGACGCTGAGACATGACTTTTACTTGGGTTTCATAGTCGGTAAATCGTACAAAACCAAACCCCTTTGAGTGGCCAGTTTTGATGTCCTTCTTAACCTAGGTTTAGAAAAAGAAATTATAGGGCCAGAATAGCATAAGGTCACCGTATTCACCTTACTTCTGAAGTTAATTTAAAATATGTAATAATAGAAAAATACTAATGTTGTCTCTTAGCTGAAGCTTTCATTCTGCGTTACGGTCTCTGATGAAAAGCTGCAACAAGATCAGCTTCCTTCTCCCTCAAATGACCCTCTCCATTTGGCCTAGAGGGAGGAGAGGCAGGTCTTCCCTGCTGAGAGGTGGCTCCGTCTGAGTCCTTCTCCAGCTAAACTAAATTTTCATTCTACTGTAAGAACCGCCGTGCGGCTTGAAGAACTAGTGCCAAATACCTGCACCATGAGAACTTCTCCAAACGTGCTGAAATATTCTTTCAGATCTTGCTCTGTTGTCTTCCAAGGAAGACCCAAAACTATCAGATCAGAGGTTTTCTGAACTGCTCGTTTCACTTTAACGGCTGATGAAGCATCTGTTTCATCCATTTTCCTCTTGTTGTCTAAGAAACAGCCATGGACACAAACATAGATTACTTTAATTGCAACATAAGACTCCCGAAGTTGCTGGAAGCTGGGCAGTCTATACTTTAACCAACTACGATTGTTTGTGCAGTCAAAGGCTTAGACTGGATTTGGCATTTTTTGACTATTGAGACCTTCCCAAAGTTATTACATAAGTTAACGTTAGAGCTGTGCATACCTCGTTACTCCAGACAAAGGTATACTCAACATGAAACTGAATACATTCAACATAATGTTCAATATGCATAATAATTTGGAAATAAGCTTTTATGCACATGCCATCTGTAATATGTATTTAGCTAGATGTCAGTAAGTGGGGCCTTACTAAATAACCATGTATATAACACCTCATAATATGAATGCATATGTTGTTAGACAGAATACTAGTACTGTATTTGTGGTTTCCCTTCCCAATTATTTAAAAGAATAACAGGTTAAATAATTCAGTTGTTTCCACACATGGCTGAAAAAATGTTTTATGAACTGGTTTAATTTCCAGCTATATATTATTATAGTTGTAAGAATTTTTTTAAAAGAAAAGGAAGAATAGCTTTAAACACACACCTTTGGGATAATTCACCACATATACCAAATTTCCCCAGCCATTATCTGGTGCATGAAGAATTCCTTCCACTAATCGGACTCCTCTCATACACTGAGACACGGGGTTTCTGTAACGCAGGCCACAGGCTCCTGGGAACTGCGCAGTAACCGTGGAGAGTAATACAGTCCCATCATCCTCTGAAGGGATCTCAATGGGTTCCTCATTCTCATCTTCCGTTACTCGGATGTATTCCGACATCTCCGCCGTGATGTTACTGAAGGGTGAAAAGGAACAGATGAATAAAAAAGCAACATGCAATTTATAAAAGAAGTAATCAGTGGTTCGGCTAATGGCAGAATCTAAATACTGTTTATAGGACAGAACTTGAATTGAAAAATGATAGATTGGAACCTAAAGATCCACCTACAATCAGAATGGACAATATTAAACTGAGTCCGCCTCAGTATTTTATTTTTAACATTCAGATACTTTTGACGTACAAAAATATTCCATTTAATGATATGGTAACAACTACCATTATAATTCCAACAGTAGTCATTCAGACGCTCATAAATTTTATAGTTGATATTTACATGCACATTCTAAATTATAAAGCAGCTACTGTCCCTGCAATCTTGCCAAACTGGCATCCATCAGCCAGCTATTAAAAAAAGGAACAGGGTGATTAGCAAATTAATTCCACCAGCGAGGCAAGACACCAGCAATTTTTGACTATAGGGCATCTTTTGGCTTCCCTGTTCAACTGAGCATGTTAAAACAAACAGCAACTTCTGTTTACATTGCAAAAGCAAAATCGATCCCTTTCTCTTACACAAAATCATAAAGTATTATGATTTGTTTATTCTACTTTATCTTGTATTTTTACATTACAAGCTAATAATGTTGCTTACCCTCAAAGAGAAGAGAATGAGGTGTGTATGCATATGAATAAATGTATAATTAAAACAACACCCATCTTGTTTTTAACTATCTATAAGCTGCCGCAGTAGTAAGTATGCTGAAAAATTAAATACAAAATCTTTAAAGAAATAAACTTTTAACATGCAATGCTACAAAAGGAATAGTATACATAAAATGAGGAATAGCATACAAGTAGTCTTCGACATGACAGCAATTGAGCCCAAAATTTCTGTTGCTAAGCAAGACAGTTGTTAAATGAGTTTTGCCCCATATTACAACCTTTCTTGCCACAATTGTTAAGTGAATCACTGCAATTGTTAAGTTAGTAACATAGTTAAGTATATCTGGCTTCCCCATTGATTTTGCTTGTCAGAAGGTCGCAAAAGGTGATCAC